CATGGTTTTATGTTTACGCGGCGCGATGCAACGCAACGCGTAAAAAGACAGTATAAGCCATTATAATCCATAATTATGTCCCCACTGGATGCAACGAATGCCTCGTTTATAATGGGTTTTCATGTTTTTGAATCATCGCTCCGGCCTGACAGAACATTATCAGAATGTGGTAATGGGCGTAACTTTTCCCTCACACGCTTGAGGTATTCGGCCAATCATAATGCACTGGATAGCTGGCCAATCACAGCACACCTCGCTTTTTCAGACCGATGAGCTTTGTAAAAATCGACGCGTTTCAGAAAGGCGGGGCATAGAGGAGAAACAATAATGTACAGTATGTGGAAAATAATGTGTTTTTTTAACCTTAAACCGCATAACACATTTCCTTACACCAAATACACAAAATAATGTTCTTTTTAGCAACATCATATGACCCCTTTAAAGGACTTAATCGTCCTGTAAGTGTAACAGCAGCAGTTACCAGGCCTTTGGCTCCCTTTGCAATACATAAATTGTTAAAATACATAATGTAATACAAAGTAAACGGTGTTATTCAATTAAACCATTTAAGTATTTATTAACCAATCATTATTGCCTCATTGTTGTATATAATGCATTTTAAGTAATTTTAAAGGCTGTTGTTGGCTTAGGTCTGATTTTATAACCACAAAAAATATTATCTTAATACATCTTTGTAAACTATTATTTGAAGTAACAAAACCATGGTTAATTTGTGGTTAGCCTACCATCCTTGACTACTAGAACCATGAGTTTTGGTTTTATTCATAAAACCATGGCTAATTTTTGTAAGGAAACATGGACAGTCAGAGAGAATATTAGATGCGTTGTTGGTGGTTAAATTATCACCGACATTAAAACACGTTGTTAACGTCAACAGGCAAAAAAGATTCACAGGATTATGAATGTAGGCTACCTGAAAGTGATACAGGGGCTTCATCTTTTTTTCTTTTACTTTTCTCTGTCTTTTCACCGCATAGTTGTTCATCAATTATGATCCTTTGCATTCAGCCGCAAACGTGAGGTGCGAGCATTTTTGTTTTTTATTGGTTTTCTTTGTTTTTAATGAGGTGCCAGCGGTTGCGGATGCGGGAATGGCGCGTCACGTGTGCTTAGCCTACTGCGTTCACCGTAAAATGCTTTTTAAAAATAATTATATATGTTCATCTTTAGATTTTTATTTATGTATAGGATATGTTAATTTTTATATTAATATAGAACGAAAGTTTTTTTTGGAGCAACTGGTATGGTGCCCCCCCTGGGAGTTGGTGCTCTACGCAAACTGCGTACTCAGCTTATAGAGAGCGGCGGCACTGACTAAGATTTACTGATTTTATCCGCACAGGGCATATAGCTACTTCCACTGCAAAACAATTATTTATAAAAAAAATTATTTTATTCGTTACACTTGTGGTGTTCCCGGTCAAAAATGACCGGTCCACAAATTTTTTTTTAATACATTTCTTGTTATGCTATATTATCTCCAAATATTGGTATCAATCTTTTTGTCAGCTTGTTTTCTTTCAATTAGGACTGGTTTTGTATATATATTTGGAACTGATTTATCATAGGCCTCATTAATCTGAGTTTACGTACCTCAGTTTTTTGAGTGAAAAAAGCATTATTTGTGGATAATTTTGTAAATATTAAATAAAATATGAAAATATTGCACTGTTTATCACAACTAGTATACTCTTAACCAAGATATTTGTTTTGATAAGCTTATATCTTGTAATATGATAAATCGGTTCCAAAAATAAATAGTCCTAATTGAAAGAAAATAAGTGCTGGGCTTAAAATTGATTTTGTTTTTCTGATGTTAAACCTAGGCTATGTTGTAAATAGTTTTAAAAAGTACTTTCAGTAATGTATAGAACATTTTGTTTTAATGTGTAAAAAAATTATTTACAAGACAAAAAAAAAATAAACATATAGAAGAATGTTTTGTGAAAAAATTATAAGCTGCATTAAAAAAATTAACATTGTACATAATTACTTATTTTATTTACACATGTGAATATGCAAAACAAAAATACAAAATGTACAGAAAGTACTCAGGCTCATTTACAAATAAATTACACTATAAAAATAAAAAAAATGCATACAAATTATTCATTTAATTTTGAACTTGCATCACACACAAAAAAAACCTACAGAAATTAGGTTGCTTCATTGACAATGTGACATTTAAAAAAGTATATTGACAAATTTATTTATATAAATTTATATATTGGGGGTTTGCAAGATTTAATGTTCAATGTAAACAGTACGGATGCAACAATACAGTTAGCCCACGGTTCAATAAATACCTCAGTTTTTAAAAAAATTTACCACATCTTTTGGTTTAGTTCTTTTTTTGCTATTTTTAAATGCTATTTAAAAAAAGAAGTATTATTTTTATGGATTGGCCATTATTTAGTGCTATGAACACATGTAATGTGTGTTTCATTCACACTGGACACCTGAGGGCGCCCTCGCGCAGAAAATCCACATATACATTATAGAAGAAATAGAACTCAGGACGCTCCAGGAAATTCCTAATATGGACAAAAACAGCCAGATATGGCTGTAACTGAATGAAAGAAGACAGAAACGCTTTGAATGATGACATTCAAAAAGAACATTAAGATAATAAACACTGTACTGAGACAATGTTTATCTGTGTTCTTAAAACCACCTAGAGTATTTTAATAATTAAGTAACGTTATATTTATAATCCACTGCTAATCGACTTAGCTGTTATTCCAGTGTAGAATTTATTTCTGCGTCATTCTGTGATAAGAAGCCACATCAGATCAAGAGGGAAACTATTTAAAATATTTGTCTGATGTTGTGCAGTAAAAGTATGTTATAATGTTCTTTTTTGTTGTTGGACAAAAGGTTTAGTCATTACAAGGGAAGATACTCGGCATGTGTTGCTTTTTCAGATGCAGGCGTTTCCTCAACTCAGCGCGCAGACTCACGGACACACAAACAGAGCCAGCTTGGAGAGAAATAAAACGCATGGAAATTTAAAAGCAAAACCTAAAAAAACGCTCTGATTGGTTTAACTCTTCATCTTTTATTTGTTGCTTGTTTTGAATACTGCACGTGGACAGAGGCGTCACCAAGTTTTTTTGCGTAGTTTGGAGTGACAAATCGTACCAGCGTACTTTGAGGTCAAAATGCGTATCCGCTACGCAAAATACGTACAGGTTGGCAGGTCTGTGGTAGGGTGCGAAGTGTCCATCAGATGTGCACTTCATTTTCCTGGGAAACGGAGGGCGCATTTGAATCGTGCCGTGATGACG